AAACAAAATTATAAAGAAAAAACTTGTTGATAAACAGGTTTTACATTTAAAATAACACCTGCTCAACTGCTTTCCTTAAAATTCCACAAAATATTTTGTGTTTTTTCTTCTTTCAAAGCCAGTTGTGTTGTGTATTAACCAAGTGACTTGCTTTGCGGAGGGCCGGATCAGGCTCTTTTCTTTTGTAGGAGCTGAAGAATAGCTCTTTTCTCTTTAAGAGGGCAGCTCTTGTTAGATCTGAAGCTCCGAGCAGCTCTTAGCTGGGCATTTTGCATCAAGAAATCAACCCTAATGCTGGATTTACCTCAAGAGGCACATGCCAGTTCTCGCCATCTGCACCTTTAACATAATATTACAGAAGTGAACAGTAGAAATACAATCTGTCCATTTCAACACAAATGCACCCCGAAGATCAGGTGAAACATGATTAACTTATTAAAATGAGTTAAAGCAACATACAAATCTTGATTTTATTTGTCAATGCAAGTGTTACAGTGTGTAATTATGACAAAAGAGTTAGTATTTACTATCAAAGGACACCTTAAGATAAAGTGTTTTTGGTCACACATAATTTAAATGTACAATGCATGCTATAATCAAACCCTTAACTTAGACTTTTAGCTCAATAAACGACCAATTAGCTGCTTATTAATAGTTAGTAAGGGTTTAGGACCAGGGTAAAATAAGACTGTACTTTATAAGCGCTAATAAACAGTGTTTATCTTAATAATATTATAATAAGCCAGTAATAAAAGTGTTACCCTGTTTGCATATTTGATCAATGTTAAAATGTCATTGGTAGAGAGTAAATGCACACAACGGTAGCTTCAGACCATGTAAATATGCTTTAATACACTGTTAAACATATTTGTTTACACTTTATTTTAAGTCTATGGTTAGGATTAAAATATAGGAGTTTTTTTATTAATATAAAATAAATAATATAATAATTAATATAACATAACAATATTATTTTAAGTGTTATTTCTTTATTATTTAATCTTATTTTTTTTAGGGAGATCAAATTAGCTTGTCTAGACATCTCAACTTTCATCCATTGAGACGAAAAGACTCTGTTAAACTCTGTGTGACTTAAAAAAATATTATTTGAAAGCTGATTAACTTAGCAAAATGAGTTAAAGCAACATAAAACATTGATTTTTTTGGCATAACGTTATTTTTACAGTGTGTAATTATGAAAAATGAGTTGTATTTACTATCAATGGACAATTGCATGCTATAAATCAGGGGTGCCCAAACTTTTTCATATAAAGGACCAAAATCCGAATATCATCGCGAGCCACGGGCCGAAGGTAAATACACCAAACTATATCACATTAAAGTTACCATGGGTCATTTTCTCATTTATTTCATAATGTTTAAAAATAAATAATAAACATTTCTTTAAATCAATATATATACAGTATATATATATAACTTTTAAATTGTCCATTGTGTGTGAGTGTGTATGGATGTTTCTGCTGTGGCGACCCCTGATTAATAAAGGGACTAATCTGAGAAGAAGATGAATGAAATGGGGATCATGAATAAACTCGTGATAAACTCAGCGAACAGCGGCTCACGACTGCTGTTGAGGAACTGACGGTGAAAATGTGTGTGTGTGTGTGTGTGTGTGTCTGGGTGGAGAAGTACTCGTGGCCATCTGTCTGACCAGCAGAGCGGACGGGTGACAGCAGCCAGAGAGTCTCATGCTTAAGGAGATAATGGACGACAAAAGATGGGACTGTGTGTGTCTGTGTGTGTGTGTGTGT